ATAAAGGCAGTTACTTTCCCCTAGTTTTGATTGTGTGTTAGATTATGGGGTTTAGACAGGGCCAAGTGATCATTATCTTTTAGGTTTAAATAGTGGTTGTTTATATCCCGTATTATGGGTGGTTCTAAGTGTTTCTGTTGGGGGAGGTTTGGGTAGGTATACCGCTAAAGCACTTTTGGGCAATAGAGTATTGTCATATAAAAAATAATTAAAATTTTATTGTCTATGTGTTGTGTAGAAGAGCAAAAATACAACTAGGGGATAAAATAATACTATAAAAAAAACAAATTACAAGTGGCCCAGACTCTTGTAATTGCACTAAGGCTTAATATAATGTTTTTTGTGTTGTCTTGTTTGAGCTAGAAGAGCTAAAGTCAACTAGGTATAGTTGTTTAGGTGTTGTCTATGCATTGAGCTGAATGAGCTAAAATGCAAAATAGGTATAAACTTTTAATAAAAATCAAATTAAAAATGGAATTGCAAATTTCACTAGGGTCTGATATAGGTTGTTAACAAGATCAAAAGTATAACTAGATTTAAATTGCAAAATAAAATTCACAAATTAAAATACCAAAAAAAATAATAAAAAAAATAACAATGGCAATGACTTGGTTTTAATATGATAGTGTGGTAACAGGTACACAGGTACACAGGTACACAGGATAAAATAAAGGGTTGGGAGTTGAATATACAAACTTTAAAATTTGGCAACAAATGTTATAAAAATTAAATAATGAGTTAGGGAAGAAAATGAAAAGTTAAAATTTATAAAATTTTGAAAAAATATTTTATTCAATAAGAAATGCAAAAAAAATAAGTTAATCATAATTAAATTGAATTTATTGCAGTTTGGGGGGAAAGTTAGTTATCTGAATTTTGGGAAAAGGGACTCAGAATTTAAAAATTTTTAAAGAGGGAGGGGAATAGAAAAAAAATGAGTAAGTTAAAGTAAAGGGACTGAAGGGGTTTTTTAAATAATTTTATTTAAAAATTTCCCCAAGGTGTTTTTTAAAACGGTTAGGGTTTAAACAAGATAAACTCAAAATTTTACAAAAACGGTTTTTTCCTTTTCAAATTTGCCTTTTTTCTTTTTTTCTTTCTATTGTTTTCCTAAAATGGGATTGATCCTTTTTTGTAATGTTAATGTCAAAAAAAAATGCGGGAAAAATGGGTTTTTAAAATTTTGTAAAATTTACAAAAAAGAAAAAAAAAAAAAAAATAAAGTTATTTCGTATTTAATTTTAAGAACAGTTATTGGTTGTATGATGGAGAATTGGGATTTGGGGTACGGAAAAAACCAAAAGTAAAGGGTAAAAAGGTTTTGGTTTGAAATAATGGAATTTAAAGAGTCAAAAAGTTAAGTAAAGGAAGTAAAAAATGGTAAATTATTTTTTGAAAAAAAAAGAAAAATAAAAATGTGTAACAGGGGTTTTGAAAAAAAAATAAAGGTTTTTTTTTAAAAGTTTTTTTCTTTTTATTTCCCTAGAGGGGAAGTGGAAAAGAAATTTTTTGTAAGGGTTTTTATTAGGGCCCTTTCCAGGAGGGAGTAATTTGTAGATTTTTAAAAAAGAGGAAAAAAAACTTTAAAAGGGTCTTTTGGGTGGAGTGGGGGTGCAAAAAAGGTGGTAATGAAAAGAAAAAAATTTTTGGGGAAAAAAAGTGAAGGGGGGGGGAAATTTGGGGGAAATTTAAAGGGATTAAAAGGGTACAAAAGAGTTGGCGGGAAGGGGGGCAGTAAATTTTTTAAATTTGTTTTGGAAGGGGAAAAAAAGTTGAGTTAATTTAAGGAAAATGTTTAAAAAAAGGGGGGAAAATGGGGGATTAAGTTGTACCAAAGAAAAGAAAGTAGAGGGAAGGAGAAAAAATTTTTTTGGAGAGAAAGGGAAGGGTTTTAACCAAAAGAGAAGGGGTTGGGGTTAAAAATAAAAACTTTGGAGGGTGTGGGGATAAGGGGGTGCAGGGTAAAGTATGGGGTTTTTTTTGTTTGTTAGAAAAGGGGAGAAGGAATTTTTTTAAAAAAAAGGAAAAAAATTGTCGGGAGGGAAAGACAATTTTTGGGGAAAGATGGTGAAAAAAACGTTTAGAGTTAGGGGGAAGTTTAAACCCAAAAAAAGAAAGTTTTACAAAGTAAAAGGTTGATGGGGGAAGGGGAAAAAGTAGGAAGAAAAAGGGGATAAATAAAAAGGGGGGGGTTGGGAAATTAAAAAAGAGGGGAAATAAAGAGAGGTGGGGGGGAGGATGGGGTTATTTTAAAAATTTTGTTGATTTTGAAATTTTTTGGTTTTACAGGAAATGGGGCGGGGGGGAAAACAATTTTGGATATGTTAAAAAAGAAGGGGGGGTTTTGAGTTTTAAATGGGTGAAGGGGGAGGTAAATTGGAAAAAGGAGGGAAAGGGGGGAATGTAAAAGGAGAAAAAAAGGGGAGTGGGGGAATTTCCGTTTAAAAAGGGAAAAAGGGGGGAGTTAAAAAATTTGGGCCTAAAAAAAAGTTTTAGTTTAAAAAAGAAGAGGATTATTTAATTGAGGATTGGAAAGGATTATTTAGGAATGGTGTTTGGGTGGTTTGTTGGGGGGGGTAAAGTGGCCCACCCCAATGGTTTGGGGATTTTCCATGGGAGGGGGGCCCCCCGGCTATGGGTGGGGTTAGGGGCGGGGGAGGGGCAGCCCCAAGCGGCCACCAGCCCCAACCCCCGCCTATGATTCCAAAAGGGGGTCCCACCACCCCCCCCAAAAAACCGAAAAGGATTGCCAGAAAACCCCCAAAAAATTTTGGGGTTTCCCCCCAAGTTCCCCCCTCCCCCTTTTATGACTCCAAAATGGAATTCACCACTGTCCCCCGGGGAAACCCCGGCCAATGAACTGGGAAATTTTTTGAATTATTCTTTGGGCTAGCCAAATGATGGAAATTATTGCCAGGAAAGTAATAAGTATTTTCAGTACACCATGGCAAATAGGATCTTATCACCACAGTAAAGACTACACAGGTGGAAAGAGACGACTGTTGCAGAAATGTATTTGTTTTTTGCAACAATAATGCTTATGCCTCACGTCTATAAGCTAATATAAAAGCATACGGTCCACAGATCGGCTAATTTCTACCCCATCCTTCAGTAAAATAATACCATGAACAGGTTTATCTTACTGTTACGTATGTTGCACTTCTCTGACAAAAACCAGCCTGACAGAAGTGACAGGTTATACAAGATTAGAAATGTTTTCATGTATCTCAAAACAAAAGTTCAGGATATACTTTTATCCATTCAAGAATCTTGTGATTGACGAGTCTTTGATTTTGTTCAAAGGTAGACTGTCATTCAAGCAGTATATACCGAGAAGAGGAACCGCTTTGGTATAAAATTGTTTGTACTCTTTTGATTGTGACAGTGGCCTGGTGTTGGATATTGTTGTATACACGGGTAGTAAAACATTGGAAGATACCAAGATGTTATTGGGTATCTCAGGTGACATAGTGAGAAACATATGGCAACCTTATCTTGGTAAGGCCATACATTATATACCGATAACTGGTAACAAAGCCCATTACTCCAGTGATTTCATGCGAGGTGAACAAGACAGATGTGTGTGGCACAGTGCGTTCTAATCGTAAAACATATGCCCAGGCTCAATGCAGGTGTTCTTTGGTGATGACGTGCAGGTGTTTTACTCCCAAATGACATCATGGCATTACGGTGGCATGACAAACGAGATGTCACATTGTTGACAACCATTCACCGTAATGAAATGCAAGACAGTGGCAAAGTTGATCGAGTGACTAATGAACGTATTCGAAAAACCATGTCAGTGATTGATTATACACAAAACATGCGCTTGGTTGACAAGTGTGACATGCAGATTGGTTTTGTTGACTGTGTTCGTAAGAGTTTCAAGTGGTACATGAAACTTTTCTTCCATCTCGTGGACATTTCAATGCTGAATGCATATAATATGTACCAAATAAAGACTGGGAACAGACCACCGTATGGTGAATTTTTTTTTGTCTGTTGTCAGACAACTCATAATGAAGTACCAGGTAACAACACCCGCAATAAACAAGGTCCTCGAATTCACACGATATACCCAAGCGTTTGAGGAGAGAAGGTGATCATTTCATAATACAGCTTCCTTCAACTCAAAAGAAATTTGCTCGAAGAGATGCATTGTCTGTGCACAAAAAAAAACGACGGCAACAAAGACGCAAAGACACTCGGTTTATGTTGTGAGGAATGTAAGGTGCCTCTGTGCATGGTGCCTTGTTTCAAGGAGTTCCACAAGCTCCAGCAGTTCTAAAAACCCTGTCCAGTGATTGTAAATATGTAAATATATGATAGAACATTAGTATTATACAATATTTGTGCATGTTTATTGGGAATAAAACAACAGTGGCAAAACAAAATATATAATAACTTTAGTGCGGTTATTTTGTTCAATACAGTGAGTTTATATATATCAATTATATACAGTATTGGTCTCTCAGGCCCCAAATGTTAGTAGGAATAGAAAAAAAATGGAAAAGAAAAGAAAAAACAACTAAAACAACAAAATAATGTATACGCGTATGTGGAATTCGTCGATGTTGCCACCACCACATCATTTTCTATAAACTTCTTGGCACTGTATCTCGGTAAGTACTGATCAGATTCTAATTTTTTTTGTTTTATTACCTTCACAAAAATATGCTCTTTAATTCTGTAAGAAAAAATAATTTTTTTTTTTTTTTCAAAATTTCTTGGACACTGGTGCGTGACTTCAGATTTTGGCCTTGGACCCTGAAAGGGTTAAAGCCTAAATTTATCAAATAATATATTATTCTTAAAGTTAACTTGTGTATCTAGAGGTGTGTTAGTGAGCTTTAAGGGCTAGATCTGATTCTTACCATCCCAGTGACTATGATCCTAAAATATTTACTAACGAACCTGGCAGTGGGAATTTTGGGTACTATTAAATTTCCACACTTCACATGTTTTTGTCAACTGTATATAATGATTTATTTTTTTTGTAGGGGTTAATGTAGCATTTTTTGCTGAGCCAGCACACACCATCATGGCTGAGGCAGCACACCCCAGCAACCCTCATGTCCTCAGAACAGATGATGAATCACTGGAACCAGTAAGTTATACCATGATATATTTTTGAAACTGTAGTAGTGTACCCTCCAGACCGTCAGGAGATCCTTGCTTGTACCTGCACATTCTTGCTGGCTTCAAGGCGCATTGGAGACATGTAATATGCATAGTTATTAGTCAACTTCCTTCCACTTTAGGTCGAGGTTTCTTTTCCGGGCACTGGAAGGCAGGGCTCAATAAAGCATATGCTGTCAGTGGCCTTATAAACCCCAACAACAACAACTGCTATAGTGTATAGCACCATACAGTGCAAATTTTTGAAGCAGCTGTAATGTATAGTACTGTACAATGAATCTTATCGAAGCTGCTGTAGTGTATAGTACTGAACAGTGCATATTATTGAAGCTGCTGTACTGTATAGTACTGTGCAGTACATGTATATTATTGAAGCTGGTCTAGTATATGTATACAGTAGGGCCCCGCTTTATGGCATTTCGTTTTATGGTGTTCCCCTAATATGAACATTTCAATTTATGGCCCAAACTTGCTATATGGCTCCCCCCACCTGACTTTCTAATATGGTCACTGTGTCCCACCTTGTTTGTTTGCATTCTCCATGAGCTCCATGAGCATTCTGTGTCTCCATTATGTCTGGAAGCCTTCCAGAATTTCAAGTGTTTTAAAGCTATTTCATGTTTTATATATACTCTGATAATTATACTTAAGTGTACCTGCACCTAAATAAACTTATACACTGTGCTGTCATGCAGGTACACATTAAAATCTCTAATAGCTAAATTCAAATCCAAATACCTACAAAAACCTCTCACATTGATAAACATCTACAGAGTTCCACAGTCAAACATTAGCCGATTTAGTCAAAACCTAGGAAGTATGATAACTGATGCACGCATGAACAAAGATCACTTACTACTCTCAGGTGACTTCAATATAAATCTCCTGCAAGACCAGGACCACACGTTACTGAATTCACAAACACAATGTATAACTGCATGTTGCTACCAACAATAACAAAACCTACAAGAATTACAGAGACTAGTGTTTCCCTACTTGACCACATCTGGACCAACACCATATCCCCTTTAACCCTTTTGACTGTTGCAACCCCCAATCCTGAGGTGTCTCCTGGTGTCGCAAAATTTAAAAAAAAAAATTATTTTTTCCTATGAAATGATAGAATATCTTTTCCCGATTGTAATGACACCAAAAAAACGAAATTTGATGGAAAACTGACGGAATTATGCTCTCGTGAAGTTAGCGACCTTGGCGTTGTTTACAAATCGGCGATTTCGCCCACTTTGAGCCCTATTTTTGGCTAATTCCATTGTTACAGTCACCCAAACTCATAGTCCTTTCTTTAGAACTCCATTTTTTTCTATCGATTGAGTACAAGAAACTGCCCATTTACCGATTTCAACTACCTAATAATGTGGTCAGAAATTTGCAATTTGGCCAATTTCACGAAAACTAAAAAAATATGATAATTTCAAAATAAGGTCCAGAATGAACAATGCAGACATTCCTGGCTCTAAAATAACATTTTCTTTGCTCATCAGTCATGTCTGCAGACCCCTCTGATATTACTCTTGCTTTCTATTTTGAATTTTTATTCAAACAAAAAATAGAAGACTTACTTTTAAATGCAGACTACGGGCAATACTGTAATAATTTGTATAAATAACATAAACCCCATTCATGACTGCATATTAGAATGGCTATTTGGACATTTATTGGACAATGGCATCATTTGTTTACTTTTGAACATTGGCAAAAATCAAACATTTCCCCTATTTTGAGCTCCATTTCTAGGTTCTTTTTATGGTAAAATCAATCAAAACCACCTCTATTTCTGTAATATGTTTTCCATTCTATCAAATGAGACCAAGAAAACGAGAATACAACCATAAATACTATACGAAAATAGACCACAAAGTCGGCATTTTAATTAAAAAAAACGGTCGTAGTTTTTTTTTCTCATTATGCACTACGTGCTCCAGGATTTTTTTATATGGTGCACACTGACCACACAGACCCATTCTCTCACATGTGGGCCTACCAGCTTTCTCCTGCTTGATTTGAAGCCGCTAGAATTTATGAGTATATATACGTCAAACACGGAAACCTCGTAAGACGTATATATACGGCCCGCGACAGTCAAAGGGTTAAAATCAGGCATAATCACAGATAATACACAGACCACTACCCTTTACTTCCTCTTAACAACTCTTGGTAAATTACCCCAAGACATTACTAAAGTCACCTTCAGACTTCACAATGAGCGGCCATTAACCCTTTGGGGGTTTTTGGGTTTCGTACAAGTACGTCTTACGCGTAGGGTTTTTGTCGTACTAGTACGCATAAATTCTAGCGGCCTCAAATCTCACAGGAAAAGGTGATAAGCCTAGATGTGAGAGAATGGGTCTGTGTGGTGGGTGTGCGCAGTAGGAAAAAAAATCTGGGGACCCTGGGGGCATTGTGGAATGCCATCATAGTACACAATTTCCACCGTGCCTGTGTGTAAGAAGTTCCTCACTCCTCGGCAAATTTGGGACACTTTTGTTCCCCAGTGACAGTTCTAATACAGATGGAAGTGACAGTGAAGATGAGTTTCAAGGTTCTGGTGAGGTTTTGACCGAAACTAATGACCATAATATGGGAAATAGTGAGGAAAACCCAACAACCCACAGCCTTCCACCTCTTGGTGCTGGGCCATCTTGTTCACGTTTCAGTTGTACCAGAATCCAAGAGGAAACTCCTATTTTCCAAAACCCCAGACTCAGATTGTGAGCATTGGTGGATGAAGTGATAGTGATTATGAACTACAAGCTCTTCAAACTTGTTCCAAGAATGGAGGAGAGGAGGAGGAGAGGAGGAGGAGGCAGAGGAGGAGGCAAGAGGAGGAGGAGGCAAGAGAGGAGGGGGAAGAGGAGGAGGAGGCAAGAGAGGGGCAGAGGAGGAGGAGGAGGAGGAAGAAGAAAAGAGGAGGGGAGGAGGAGGAAGAAGAGGGGGAGAGGAGGAGGAAGAAGAAGAGGAGGAGGAGGAAAGAAGAAGAATACGTAATGATAACAATAATACATAATAATAATAATACATAATAATAATAATACATAATAATAATACATAATAATAATAATAGGTAATAATAAATGTTCACCCATGACAGTAACAAGATAAGGGGAGATAACATCTGATAAGTGCTGATGTTTGATGAGGGTAAATGAGGGTAGAGCTGATGCCAAAAGATGAGATAAACATCTCCCTCCCTTTGTTTTTGCTGGTATACTAACATTTCTGTCTGTCTATTTGCCTGTCTGTCAAGCTCCCTGTCTATCCGTCTAGCTCTCTCTCTCAGAGACCACAAGACTGTGTCATCACTTTTACTCACATCTTCAAAGCAGAGTAAAAAGCACTTTGTCTGGGTTTCTTGGGTTATCTAGGTAATTTATACTATGTATACTTGTATTTATGTGTACCTGTGAGACAGAGATAAAAAGACAGATAGAATGAGGGAGAAAGATAATTAGATAGAATGGAGGAAGGGAAGCAGCATCCGACCCCATTGTTTTGACAGGCGGGAGGGGGGAGTGGGGTAATGAGACAATATGTCATTTTGACAGCTGCCGACTCCTGGTAATTTACATATGGAGGAGAAGGAGAAGGAGGAAGATAGGGGGAAGAGGAAGAAGAAGAGGAGGAGGAGGAGGGAAGAGGAAGAGTAGGAGGAGAGGAATAAGAGGAAGAGGAGGAAGAGGAATATAGGAGGAAGATTAGGGGGAAGAGGAGGGAAAAGGAAGAAGAGGGAGGAGGAGGAAGAGTAGGAGGAAAGGAAAGAGTAGGAGGGAAAAGGAAGAAGAGGAGGAGGAAGAGGAGGGGAGGAAGAGGAGGAGGAGGAAGAGGAAGAGTAGGAGGAAGAGAAGAGGAAGAGTATGAGGAAGAGTAGGGGGAAGAGGAGGAGAGTAGGGGGAAGAGGAGGAAGAGGAAGAGGAGGAGGAGGAGGGGTGGAACACTAGTACACTGGGTACTGGTACACTAACATTTCTGTCGTCTATTTGTCTGTCTGTCAAGCTCCCTGTCTATCTGTCTATCCGCTAGCTCTCTGTCTCAGAGAGCCACAAGACTGTGTCATCACTTTTTACTCACATCTTCAAGCAGAGTATAGCACTTTGTCTGGATTTCTTGGGTTTTCCTAGGTAATTTATACTATGTATACTTGTATTTATGTGTACCTGTGAGACAGAGATAGACAGACAGATAGAAAGAGAGAGACCCGATTGAAAGAGATAGAAGAGGGAGAAAGATAAAACACCCTTGGTATGGACACCCTGTTTCAGAGTTCCACAAACTGCAGAACTAAAAGGAATATGTTCAGTGACTGTATATTGGTATATATATTATTTGAACAATAATAATAAACAATGTTTTGTATTGTTTGTTTTTGTAAACAAGTTTTGTAAACAATATATTGATAATTTTGTTTGTGTGCTTATTGTGTTGTTTTACAACGAGTATATATATGTACATTGCACCTTACTTTGGTCTCATAGGCCACATAAGTTATGTAAAAAAATAAAATTTGTGAAAAAAACAACAAACCTTCAAATACAAGTAAACTGAAGTTTACCGGGTGAGCGGCAGTCGCCGCTGTTGCCATACGCGGCTCATTTTCTGCAAACTTCATGCATCCATATCTCCGTAAGTATTGATGGTAAATTTTTTTTGTTTATCCTATAATGTTTAGAAAAAAAAACTCTATTTTTTCATAAGAAAAAATAATTTTTTTTTTTTTTGAAATTTGGCCGACCCTGAGAACGAGTTTCGGAGAGGGCCTGTCGACCCTCAAAGGGTTAATAATTTTACAACAGCAGTAACAAACATTGACTGGCACACTGAGCTAGAAATCTATACAGATACAGGTCTCCCTCAACATTCACGTTTTCAGCTTTCGCGGGCTTCACACATTCGCGAATTCCCAACCGCCAAATTCCCAGCCACCAAATCATATTGAAGTTTCCCGCCACCTGC